ACTTCCCAAAGCAGCACACGAGGCAGCAGACTTGCTTACCCACTGACATCCCAGAATGGGATGCTTTACACTCTGGGGGGAGCACATGGATAACTTACATATTTAATGACAGGGACAGAGCAGAATGAAGACTCACATACAGATGGGGCTGCAAAGCCAGAGGAACAAGCTACTGAGGGGAACAGCTTTGGAAATGGGAAAATGCTGAATTYGCATTGCTACCCTGACATCTGTCATTTAACCTCTTTGTTTCATCGTCTCCCATTCCCTGCAAGACAAGGAATAACAATATCTGGAACAGCAAGGAGGGATTGCTTAAGAAAAGCATCTTTCTTGGAAAAACCTCGTCAGGCAGAGCAGCAATAGCTGCCCTCTCTCCTAGCTCTCTACCTGTGATGCTGAGAACTTAGTGTCCGAGGAAACAGCATTTTCTTTTGTCATTTTGCTAGTAATATATTCTCTACTTCATCCTCAATGAACATTTTGTTCCTTCTTTCCGAGATTTCTCAATATTTGGAGGTGAGAGCAATATGCTCCCCCTTGCTCCTATCCGTATGAGGCATAKTCTTCCAAAGCCAATCCAGATTGCAGGCAGGGGGCAGGGCATGTGTAAAAGTGGGCAAGCTGTTCTCTCCTCCCAATAATTAGGGAGTGCTTCAATGCCAAGGAGAAAGAAGAAAAGAGTTGCACCTGCTTGCAGCTCCCAGTGCCCGTCGGTGGCGTGRGGCTGCCAGAGGACACCCGGCTGGCTCAGCTCTTGCTTGTCATTTTGGGCTGAGCTGCCTGGGGAGAAGGTGAAGGGTTTGTGGTGATGGGGGAGAGCTGGGGAAGACACCAAGCAACACCACCCTTCAGCCAAGCGTTCCCTTGAATCTTTACCTAGGTTTCCTGCTTGCAAAATACACTGCTGTCACGTATAGCTTTTAGCTCTGAAAGTTGAAAAGCCTTTAGTGTTCCCTAAACTGCTGTAGATGTAGACTCGGGCACCCAGCTTTTCTACACTGCCCCAACAATAAGCTTTGATCACTGCTGGAAGCAGCACACGGGGATGAGGTCCTTGCTGTGCTAGACTCCTACCCAAAGGATTTAGGCTGTACRATGGACAGAATTTGCCCTCTTGCTGCTTTTGGCAATGGGCTATTCCAGAGAATACGGACAAACAGCGGTGAAGAGGAGCAGGGGCTGAGAGAACAAGGCAAGAGAAAGGGCCGGTTTGTCCTATTTAATAGCGATATCTTAATATAGCAGGGTCACACTTTGGCTCTGTGCATCCCTGTATCAGAATGACAGCTGACGCAGTAGCTTATCTATGAACAACTGCCCTGGGACTAACACATAACGTACCAGAGGGCATCACGCCGCAGGAGATATCGTTTGCTATCTGGGATACTGAACGGGTTTATCCCAGGAGGTTCTCGTCTCTGCAAAGCACCTGATGCACTGCAATTTCCAAGATGTGATAATATAACAGACTACTTGCTTTTTCTACAGAACTCACTTGACCCTTTTGCTGTTTCTGTCTCTGAACTGTTTGGCAGTACTTCTTTGGAGGAACTACAGCCACAAACTCAGATGCCAGGACTTGGAGATAAGCAGTCAGCAAAACAACCGATTTCCATACAGTATATAGAAAAGAAGAGAAGAAGGAACACTGGGAATCCCTAATGAACTTGGGTGAAAAACAGGACAAGGGAGTAGCAAAATGAAATAGATTGCAAGGTCACAGCAAGTTTTAACAGAGGTCTAGCAGGTAGATGAGGGGTAAAAGAATAGAAGCAGGAAAATAGGATGGAAGTAAGGAGATGGGAGCAGTTTGTGTAGGAGGAGGGATTTTTCAGAAGCATTTCACTTCCTTATTATATAGAAAGTGCCAGCTCAAAACAGAGCAACAACTGATCTAGTGAAGTAACCTTATCGGCCGAGACTGGATGTTTCAAAAGGAGGTTACTTGTTCTGAAACAAGGACTTTTAAGCATTTCTTGCCTGTGACACCCAACATAATGCAACACCAAAGCAGCCACAAATATCAGCACATTTAATTAATAATTTCAGGCAAGTAGTAGGTTTTTGTTTTGATGCAACACAGTGGGCAAACCCATCTGYTCCCACACAGAAAGACCTTGTACCATTTTAGCATTAGTGCAAGTGCGCCTCACGTTACTACAATTACTCGACTTGTTTTCCCACTCGCTGTTGCAGTGAGTTTCCCAGGTTAATGCACACCCTGTTCTCCGTGTTTATTCCACTCACCCCTTATATTGCCAGACAGTCCACAAGCATAGGGCTTACAGGACAAAATAGGGGTTGCCCCCACTCCCCTCCACAGCTCTAGGGCTTTTTGTGCCCCTGCCATACAAAGCACCGTGGGTGGGCACCACCCCAGTGGTAAATCGGGCTGGGGCAACCGTGGAGCCCCTGGTCCATGCCAGGAAACACGGCTCTGTCTCAGCCTGGGAACAGCTGGGCAGGCTGAGCCCTTGCATCCTGCCTGCAGTTTTCCCAGCTTCATTGTCCCTACCCAAACTGATACCTGCTCCACCAACGCTGCCCCAGTGGTGCCTTTTCCCTTGCGTGCAGGCAAGTCCCTGTCCTGCCATGCCCACCAACAGCTCCCTGTCCCATCTCTCCCACTCCATGCATCGTTCTTGCTCCAGCACCTCTACAGCCTGGTCCCAGCTCCACCACACCCATCCGGGCCAGCACTGTCATCCCGTCTCCCCTGAGCTGCACCTCCACCACCATCCCCAGCCAGCTGCTGGTGCAAATATCCCACTTATGGACAGGTTCCTACTCCATCAGTCTGGCAGCACCTGAGCACTCCTTGCTCTCCAGACCTGTATCTGCTTCAACACCTTTGAATGCACCGATACCCCGTCGAGCATCTCTACCTGGACCAGCACCTGCTCTAGTATCAAAACCTGCACCACTTCCCAGTCGAGCATCCCTAGGCGGGCTGCTTCCTGCTCCAGCATCCTACTCGATCAGTACCTTGATACTCAACTGGGACTGGTACCAGAGCTTGCTCTAGCACTGCTGCTGAGACCGGTGCCTCAACGGGACCGGTACCGGCACCGACACCTGCCCCGGCGCCGCAGCCGGGACGAGCGCGGCTGCCCCGGCTCGGCACCGTCCCCCGACCCGCGGCGGCGCCGGCTCCTTCCCACTTCGGCGCGGCAAGAAACCGGGAGAGCCGGAGACAAAGAAACTCTCCGGAGCTGCCCCCTCCTCTCTTTCTTTCTTTCTTCCTTTCTTCCTTYCTCCCTTCCTTCCTTCCCCCCGCGCCGCCGCCCCTGCCCCCGCGCCGGGCCGGCCGCTTTTACCCGCTCTCCTCCTCGATCTCGGAGATGTCGGCGAAGATGAGGAAGGCGACGAGCAGCGTGAGCAGCGCGAGCGTCCAGCCGCGGCACGGCAGCGGCATGGCTCCC